TGTTTCTCTGAAATAGTATTATATCATATCAAATCTTTCATCTTCATATGAATTCATGCCTTACAATAACAGAAAAGTACATAATTGATATAAATTATTTACTTAATTTTTTTTAATTTTGGCCGGCTAAAATCGATTTGGACACACTGTGCGTCGATATTAGCATTATCCAAGGTGTCCGATAGACGGACACCTCAAGCATAGCATACCTCGAGAGCTTTCCAAAACACTTTCATTAAATATCTTTCGAGTTAAAAAGCTTCAAAATTACAATATTGTTGGCATTAGCATTGGTACCCAAGGTGTTCGACCGACGGCTAAAATCATCTTGACAACATTTGTCAAGGTCAAGACGATTGGAGGTTGTTCCTCGTATTTTCATTATTTCAATTTTTACTATAAAATTGAAAATAATAATTTAAAAGAGTGGGATAACATGTGCGGCTCGATTAATTCCAAAAAGTCATATGAGGCCTCGACGAATGAGAGATAATGAAATGCACGCCTCCCGCAAGATCCCGAATTCCCCTCAGTTATATGTATATACAATAATGTTCTCTAAATAGATTTTTAATAAAGTCATCTATTTACTCACAAAAAATCGCAAACTTAAGTATCTTTTAAGGCTTTAAAGATGATCTAACCCGTTAATAATAAAAAATCTTAGACATTGCGTCATTCAGGTTACAGCGAATGAAACTAAAGCTCTCAAAATATGACCTGAATGCACAGATTTCTACCATACCATAGATCGCTAGCTCCGAGAAATGAAGTAAAGCCAAATAACTCAGGAAAGAGGAATAGTAGCACTCTTTACCCCAGTATGGTAATGGGTTACATTCCAAAACGTCAAAATTCTAATCAATATTATTAAATACACTAAATTAAGTACACTAACACTACTTCATAACGCACTGTATGTGATTATCAGATAAATATGACGTCTGATTTCAACGCAACTAGTAACAAACTGTAACATGTTAGCGATCTATTCTATAGGAATCTGTGCTTGAATCTAAAGTATGTACACTCGTGGACAGAGTACTTACGACACTTTTTGTTTGATCGATTTCGGAACTCACTAATATTTTGCCATGATTGGTGTACTATCTTTAGTCTAGAGACAGTACACCAACCGTGGCAAAGTATTCGTGTGTTTCAAAATCAATCAATCAAAAAGTGTCGCAACTACTCTGTCCACGTGTATAAGGAAAACAAATATACATAGCTGATCTTTTATCTCGAAATTATAGATCAAACATGCATCAGATTTACTAAATGGATTGCTAAAATCGTTCATTCTGTCAGTATTGGACGCAATATGACTGAAGAAAAGAAAAAACAATTTAGAGACGCGACAAAATGATGCTAAACTCAGAAAATTAATTGAGTACTAAAATGGATGGCCATCTAATAAGAACAATATAGATCCAAGTGTTCAATTCTCGGCTAAGTATCAAAGTAATATAACTGTAGATAAAGGTCTAGTCTTCTATAACTATAGATTGATAGTCCCTAATGACCAACGTTAAGCTAGCTTGACGCTAATTGGACCATAACTGAATCGAAACATTTGCGACTTTGCGATGCAACTAATGTAGAACCAGCTTTATAAGTTTATGGGTTATATTATATTGAAACAAAGAGTAAAAAGAAACAGGAGGGAATATATCGGTAATGGAGGCTGATCTGTAGACGGATATACATCATGACATTTTAAGCAACCAACTTTTTTGACAGTTTATCAGTAAAGTAAGGGAAAAGCTAGAGCTGCGCAAGCATATAGACAAAATCTAATATAAGATAACCGTGGTGCATTGCCAAACTTATGGTCTCATAAGCTGGTCAGCAGCAGCTAAAAATTATGAAATAACATTTCATCGATTAGTATTATCAGTAATAATGAGAATTTTTTGTCTCGTATATGCGTTGCTGCTGCTCTAATTTTTAAATATTAATAATAAGATTATTTTAAATTAGTAACAAGGTTAGTTTTTCACAAATAAGCTTTTCACAGCAAAAGATAACTTTTCACTATTAAAACCTATATTTATATTCTGATTATACTTTCATCTTGACTTCCATGTACAAAATAACTCTAATAAAAATTACGAATGAAACACAGAATATCAAACAAGTTATATCGGAAATCATATTTAAATAATAAATTATTGTCTAATTATCGCAGTAAATTTTGAGATATTTTGCCAATATCGCCATCATACTAAAATGCTGAAAAATCATAATCATTCTATATTGCAGGCGCCCTTGAGTGACCACTTTTTATATTAATATATATAGTAACTTCCATCTGCTTGCTTTGTTAGTATCATACATTCTCTTTTATTTTTTTTTTTACTCTTTATGTTGAAGGTGCAAATTCACCATCCGGTGGAGCAACATATCCACCTCTTCCCTCCCCTACATACTCTGAAAGATGATATTTCGATACGTCTTTTAAGCATAATTAAATTGATCCAGTTTTGTTCATTCTATATCTATTTAAAAATGGAAGAAAATAAGGTATATCTTTGACACATTTGTTATTTAACTTCAAAAAAGACAAGAATGTCGTTCAGACAAAAAAGATTTACGTTTACGGAGGTTATGTAGTAGCTGAAAAAACTGTTCCGAATTGTTTGCTTTAAACTTGGTGATTTAATCGAAGACCAAGAAGCTGAAGGTAAACCTTCAGTGGATAACGATCAAATTGCAGCACTACCTAAGTGAAAATAATGCACGCTGCACAACACAAGACATTCGAGAGACACTCAATATATTTAATGATTAAATGTATGTGTAAATAATATATATTAAAAATGTCTTTGAATTTTAATTTAAAAATCGCAAAAATTTTCCGAACAATTGTTAATCAAAAATTAATTTTCTTCAGTATATCTTCTATTAAAAAATTATTTATTTTCCAGTAATAAATCATTCTCATTTAAAAAATTTTTTTCAATTATTTATAATTAGTTACTATTTTATTTTGTAAATCTAAAATAAAAGAATTAACTAATTCTTAAATTGTAATCAATTTTGTTTGGATATTTTTCTAATTTAAAAATAATAATATATTATATTACAATATAATATAAATACAATATAATATTACAATACAATATAATATAAACATATATTTGATAATATATTATACTTACACCTGAACCACCAACGGATAACGCGTAATTTCATCTTCTCTTAATCCAGGTGGTAGATGCAATCTCACTTGGGCGTTGTAGCCGCCACTTATCTGCACAGGAAAAGTCTTTACCTGCGGAAGTGCGATGTTTGCTATTTTTTCCTGTAATAATATTTGTAAAAAATATATATATACAAATATATACAATATTTATACAATATATTTTTTAGATAAAAGTAAAATTGGCAGGTATTTGTGAAAAAAATATATTTAACAAAAATTTTATAATCTAAAGCTTATAACTTAAGTAAAAACATACGCGTAACAACGTATTATTCTGCAATGGCATAATGAATCGCGGCACAGACATTTCCATTTTGTAAAGGGCCACGATAGGTATACCAGGTCCAAGGCACTCAAGAATGAAATATTCACAATCCGCGGACGGGAAGATCGCATTGTGATACTGACAAGGTGGATCGCCGCTTTCTAAAAACATAAATATAGAGCCAAGTAATAAAGTTATACGCACATCGAGCTAACAGCAATACAGTTATTTATGATCCAATATTATGAAATTATTTAAAAAATCTATACACATATGTGTATGTATGTATGTATATACATAAATATACATATATACAGGGTGATCCATTTTATTCGCTCCCAATAACTCGAAAACTATGACAGAAACAAAAAAATATTTCAAACAAAAGTTGTTTGACTTCAAGGGGGACATAAAATGATAGCATTGGTTTAACCTTGGGTGGCGTTGTCAAGGTCAGAGGAAGGTCACTTTAAATTTTTTTAATGGGATTTCCTTTTTCATTGCATATTCTTGTAGCTTATCTCGAGAGCTTTTCAAAACATTGTAATAAAATGTTTTTCCATAAAGAATTTTTCAAGTTATAAGGTTTGAAAGTTACAGTATCGCTGGCATTAGCATCCAAGGTGTTCGAACACTAGCTACGACCTTTTAAATGTTATTCGAGATCACGACAACATATGTCAAGATCAAGGCCATTAAAAGTTGCTCTTATTTTCATTTTTGAAAATTATTTTTATTTTTTGAAAAAAAAGAACAACCTCCAATGGTCATAACCTACATTGACATATGTAGTTCAAGCTCATGATCCTGAACAACATTCAAAAGGTTTTTAGCCATTGTTCGGGTACCTTGGACTCCTTGAATAATGCTAATGCCGGCGATATTGTAACTTTCAAGCTTTATAACTCAAGATTTTCTAATTAATCAAAAAATATTTTATCTATATGTTTTGGAAAGATCTTGAGATAAGCTAAATCTCAGCTAAATAATTTGTCACATTATGAGAATCTGCTCTTTTAATTTTACAGATTAGTCTTTTGACAAATATTCAAATAATATCAGCAAACGTAAATCTAAAGCTGATTGATCATCAAATATAATCAATCCAGGTAACAAATAGAAACAAGTACAAAGTATGTGTAACTTTGACTCCCTTTCCTCTTTGCCGTACACGTACGTACGCAAATATGCACATACCCATAACACAAGAGATTAAATTCGATTAAGTAACCTCGACATGGTATACTTTGAGTAATGCTAATGCCGGCGATATTGTTACTTTCAAGTCTTGTAACTCAAAAAGTACTTCATGAAAAAAATATTTTATCTATGTGTGTTGGAAAGCTGTCCAAATAAGCTACAAGAATATGCAATAAAAAAATGGGGGGCTCCGTTTAAAAAATTTGAAGTGACCTTTCCCTGACTTTGACAACACCACCCAAGGTCAAATCAATGCTACCATGTTTGGCCCCCTTCAAAGTCAAACAACTTCTATATAAAACTTTTTCTTGTATCTTAGTTTCAAAAATATCCGCCTGGGGCGATTAAAATGCCCCACCCTGTATATACAGGGTGTCTGGTACTCAATGGTACAACACTCATGGGCAGGTAGTATGGAACTGAACAAAAAAATCTCGATCACCTCCCCCTAGTGGGCGGCGCGTGGTGGAGGTATTTGATTTAACCCTTTCAAGCATACATTTTTCCTTACATACGATTGACTCGAAAATTGGTACTCGAGGGTTTTCGAGGTTGCTGATTACAAATCTGAGATCAAAATTTAGAAATTCGAAATGGCGGATCCAATATGGCAGACCCGAATTCGAAAAACGATGCAAATTTTATGAAAATGTATATCTGGGGGTTCTCAAAGTCGCTGATTACGAATCTGTAATCAGATTCTCGAAATTCAAGATGGCGAATCCAATATGGCGACTATAATCCAAAAAACAATGCTGATCAAGTATAAAATCGCTGAATCGCCAAATATACGTTTTTATAAAATTTGCATTATTTTTCGAATTCGGGAATCGGGTCCGTCATATTAGATTTGCCATCTTGAATTTTAGAAATTTGGCTACGGATTCGTAATCAGCGACTCCGAGAACCCCCAGATATACATTTTCATGAAATTTGCATCGTTTTTCAAATTCGGGTCCGCCATATTGGAACCGCCATTTTGAATTTTAGAAATCTGACCACGGATTCGTAATCAGCGATCCCAAAAACCCTTGAGAGAAGATCTTTGCGTAGAAACTCTGAGAACTTTCGGAGATAATGAATTTTTTCCAGAAAAATTGCTATTTTTCAACGTTTGTTTATTTGTATAAACAAAATCACCCATGATTTCGAATTATTGCACATCGATTCTTATTCTTGAATGTATAACCGATACCAAAACAAAAAAAAGTTCGAATATTGAGTGAAAACTACCCCAATTATTAAGATAATGGTTATGGAAAAGGTGGCATTCCACATGCCACCGTGCTTGAAAGGGTTAACGCTGCTACGAGGTCGCCTAACACGTGGCGCGGAGTGGAGGTAATTGCACGCTTATCAATGCCGTGCGCTAAGCGCGCGGGTGAGGCGACCGCGGTCCCCGGGGGGCGGATGTATCTCGCTGCGTGTTTAGATTCGACGAGCTTTATATATTAATATCTCGAAAATTATTGCGAAGATCGCAAAATGGTAGAGGACTATTTTGTTCAGTTTGGTCCACACTACCTGCCTACGAGCACTGTACCATTAAGTACCAGACACCCTGTATATAGAGACTGACGAAAGTTTGGGGCCACCTAAATCATTTTTGGACGGTTCGAGATATTGGATTGAAATTTATAAGGTTTCAATGGCAAAATGTAATGTATAGTTTAAAGTTAAAAAAAAGTTACTTCACCTTCCAAGGAGGGCGGGGGAGAGGAGTTAAAAATATGTGGGAGTCGAGTAAGGGCTCGTTTGAAAAAGTTTTTCGAGACGAGAAGAACGCAAGGTTGTTAAGGTATCTACGATTTTTTTTCGCAGAGTTATGCTCGTTTGAACATTGGTGTTTTTTAGCACTAGCAAGGCTCATGGCGCGAACGTGAGAAAGATAAGGCTTCGTGCATGTTCCTAAGTGGATGGAAATGCATGTAGAAGAGCGCGCGCGTGTGCGTGTGTGCGTGCGTGTATGCGAACGTGCGTGCGTGAGTGCGTGTGTGCGTGTGTGCGTGTGTGCGTGTGTGCGCGTGCGTGCGTGCGTGCGTGCGTGCGTGCGTGTGCGTGTGCGTGTGTAAGGACATGCGCGAAACCTTATCTTCCTCACGTCCTCGCCGTGGATCTCGCTAGTGCAAAAAAACACCAATGCTCAAATGAGCATAACTCTGCGAAAAAAAATCGTAGAAACCTCAACGACCTCGCATTCTTCTCGTCTCGAAAAGCCCTTTTAGAACCCTCACTCGACTCCACATGCCACATGTATTTAAAATTTTCAATCCCCGTCGCCCTCGGAAAGTTGAAATGGATATTTTCAAGAATAAATGATAGATTACATTTTGCCATTGTAATTATAAATTTTAATCTAATATCTCGAACCGTTCAGAAATTATTTTGGCCTCGAACTTTTGGCGGTCTCTGTATATACATATAGTCACCAAAATAATTGTCCGGACAAAGCGTTGATATATCGATAATTTCTAAAAATTCAAGATAGAGCAACTTTGTCAAAAATTATCGTAACGAGATTTTTAAAAAAACATTTTACAGTTTGAAATCTCCATTCTTCAAGTTAATACTTTAGAAAACGATTAACTGACTTTCTTCGGAGTCGCATTGATACAAATGGAGATATGACAAATCGCAAAATTTTTTTCTAACTTTGCAAAGTTCCACGGCCCGAAATAAAAATCGTACAAAAACGAGGTGTACAGTTTTCGAAAGAATGAATATTTTTCTTTAATTTGCTTTTTCGTTGAGCGTTATACAAATTTTTCACCAAGTTATTCAACATTGAAGCAAAAAAAGGGAAAAATTTTGCGATTTGTTACACCTCCATTTGTATCTATGCGGCTCCGAAGAAAGCCAGTTAATCGTTTTCTGAAATATCAACTTGAAAAATGGAGATTTTACGTTGTAAAATGTTTTTTTTTTAATTCTCGTTACGATCATTTTTGACAAGTTGCTCTATCTAGAATTTTTAGAAATTATCGATAAATTAACGCATTGTCCGAACAATTAGTTTGGTGACTGTATATGTACAATGTGTATATATAAAAAGTATATATTTTCGTGTGCATGCGCGTGCGCTTATGACATACATAAATATGATGTCCTATTTTTTGCCATCAAAATAACTAAAAAAGAATGAGTTTTGCAAAAAGTAATTAGGAACAAATCTGTTAGGATTTTTAGAAGACAATCTAATGAATTGATTAGATTTTTGGTTTAAGGCTCGCGTTGGTCTCAATCAGGTTTAAGTCGAATTTTTAAAACAAAAAATCTTATATTTTATTGCATATTTGGGTTCTACGTTTCAAAACAATATTAAGATGAACCTAAAGTTATCTGTTTTATCGACTAAACATGATTATTTTTCAGCGTCGTTAACATAATTGCAATTTACAGATTTAATAATCTTTTTTTACGATTAAAATATACAGTGAGGGGCAAAAGTTCCGGAACGCCTAATTATTTCAAAAAGTATTGGTTTTATGGAAAATTGTTTCAAACAAAAATTGTAGGATTTAAGAAAATCTATTAGCTGGTGATATTTATTTAAGCTTTAGTTGACCTTGAAAAGCGTGGTGAAGACCGACATAATAATCTTAAATGGAAACTTTTTTGTTACATTAAGAGCTTTTCAAAAATTCACTTTTCATTTATTCGTTACGTTAAGCGCTTTTCAAAAATTCACTATGGTGAAAGTTATTTTCTGAGAAAGAATGGGTGAACAAAATATAATTGCTGAAGTGAATTTATTACACACTGGTGTAGAGCTAATCGTTACAATCAGAGACTTCCAGAAGGAACTGAACGGAAAAAGAAAGAAGGTATAATATGTGTCAGGCCATAGATTATAAAAATGAAAAGACTTGTATCCTTGCCTTTGAGTATATACCTGGAGGTGGAATGCCTTTGTTCTCTGCAGGCCGCAAACGAGTCCAAGAGTGGCAAGGAGTGCGAGAGA